AGGGCTACACAGAGAAACCCTGTTTCAAAAAAAAAAAAAAAAAAAAAAAAAGAAAACTTTAATTCCTTTGCAAGGTAAAGACCCACATTTGCTAACTCTTCAATCTGCTTTGTCTGTTTAATATATAAACTGTACTATATGATTCTTAGGTAGCTATCTTAGGTGTGTATGTGTGTGTGTGTGTGTCCCTGTTGAACCTGTTGAAATATTTTAGTTTTGCATTCTAGCTTTGTTCTTCCATGCTCTCAATTGTCTTGTGTGATTTTTCATGACACAATAGTTTTTTTGGTTTTTCGAGACAGGGTTTCTCTGTGCAGCCCTGGCTGTCCTGGAACTCACTCTGTAGACCAGGCTAGCCTCGAACTCTGGAACTCAGAAATCCGCCTGCCTCTGCCTCCCAAGTGCTGGGATTAAAGGCGTGCGCCACCACCGCCCGGCTAAAGTTTTCTTGTATAAATAAGCATCAGTAGAACTGCAACTTTGGAGTTATTTTGAGGTTCATGTCACAAAATTATCTTACAAATGCAACTTAAAAAAAAAAGACCAATTTTGGTTTCTGGTATGAGAAAACACCATCTGCCATAGCACTGGAAACATGGTGATGAAAATGTGAGGTCATACTATGCCAGCAGAGGAAGGTAATCTATTCATCTTTCTCTGGACTTGAATGAGAGTTTTATTAGTTATTTTTTTTAAACATCTGGTTCACTCTTTTTATTGTTGCCCAGAATTGTGAAGTCTATATGTACAATGAACTTTTCAATTTATGCCTAAAGTTGTAGCTATTATTTGAGAGGTTTTTGCTATGAAAACCAGGCTATTGTTGGATCCATTGCTAGGAAGACAAAGTCACCAGTTCCTGGAGGAGCTATTTAGAATGGATTTTTCCTTCTGTCCAACACTGACCAAGGAGACGTTAAAGAAAAATTCACTAGGTTGTTTTTATAAAGACTAAAGACAGCTGTTAAAAATGTTTCTTTGCCACCCAGTGGGCCTCAGATTATTTTAAGAAGTTACCAAAGTTAGAAAAATTTAAAGGTATAAACAGCTCTCAGTTGTCAGAGGTAGCTCAAACAATATCTAACAGACAAGTGACTTGGACAAAACCTTTTGCATAAACTAAAAACCACAGTCACATCTCTGATGAGTCATAGACTTAACAGATACTTAGCAAAATTTTGGTGTCTTATCCACTGTCAGAAGAATCTCTCTTAGAAGAAAGTTCTGCCTCCATTCAAGAGATAGAGTTATCTCTCAGATGAAACAATACCCAATAACACCAGAAACAAAAAGGGAAATTGTAGTCCGTGTTGCCTGTTCTTACTAGTCCATGCTATCCTTGTCCGTCATCCCTGCTGTGATCCCCACAACACTACTTGAGAGCTGGGGTCTGAACATGCTAGCCTCCATGTCCTGCTCAAGTATACACTATTTCTTTTTTCTCCCTTCCTTCTTCTTTCTCTCTCTCTCTGTCTCTCTCTGTCTGTCTGTCTCTCTCTTTCTTTTGAGACAGGGTTTCTCTGTGTAGCCCTGGCTATCCTCAAACTCAAGAGATCCACCTGCATCTGCCTCCTGAGTGCTCAGAGGCATATGCCACCACATCCCAGCATGCATTTCTTTTTAATGCATAAAATTAACAATGGTTTTTACTTAATTATAAAGTAACATAAGAACTTTTTTTTTGGGGGGGGGGGGGGGTTGAGACAGGGTTTCTCTGTGTAGCCCTGGCTGTCCTGGAACTCACTCTGTAGATTAGGCTGGACTCGAACTCAGAAATCCGCCTGCCTCTGCCTCCCAAGTGCTGGGATTAAAGGCGTGCACCACCACCGCCTGGCAAGAACTCTTATATAGGTAGTATCTTATTTGTTGATTTTAAAGCTGTCTCAGTATGTAGCCACAGGCTAGACTCTCTATAAAGTTCAGGTTAGCCTTGACCTTGTGATTTCTTGTCTCAGCTGTATGAATGTAGACATTGCAGGTATAAGCCACTGCACCTGGACTTGGAACCGAGTGTATTACCACCTGGATAACAATCAAAATCGGTTTCCAAACAGGGGGCAAAATTTACACACACTCACAAGGCAGCCCACAGTTGTCTTTAACTCCATGATCTGACACCCTCACACAGACTGATATACAGACAAAACACAAAAGCACATAAAATGAAAGTAAACAAATAAGTTTAAATAAAAAAGAGCCAGGTGTGGTGGCATAGGCCTGAAAAAAAAACACACACACACACACACACATCACTGAAATACCATCACTGTGAATGAGATGAATAGCAAGCAGCTTAAGTCATTTTCTTGGAAAATAATATTCCCCAAAGCTCTCAGACCTAAGGAAATAGAAAACAGAAATAACACAAGGATTTATAAGAAAAAATGGCATATTCAATTGTGGATACATAAAAATGTGATATCCAAATGGCTCCTGGATGTATGGAGCTGGAATCAAGGAAGAGCTTGTACCTAGATGTGCCCTTCCCCCGCCTTGAGCAGGCCTGAGAGACCTTGTTTACCACAACAGACCGAGTGATTGGATCTAGGTGGAACTTAAAAGAAGAACTGCCCCTGGGCTTGCCTTTAGCTATCTCCAGCCGAGACAGTGACCAAGAACGGATTATCCCACCCATGTCTGCCTGAAACAAGGAAGAGTTCGGCGGGTCTCTTTAAATTCAAAAGCTAAACATTAAAGCATTGAGCCTAGATCAGAGAACTTTGTCTTGGCTTTATCTCTTTTCGCCCTCTGTCCTCCTTTTGTTCCCAGCCCCCTTTCAGGCGAACCTGGTTGATGCAGGTGGCTACAACCAGAGAAAAGACTGAGAAGCACAAGCTACTAGTCAATATCTGATATGCAGAATATCCAATTTGTGACCTCAAATGGGTGACGACCCACAGGTAGAGAATCACCTGCCACGTGCCAAGGCCCTGATGTGCTGCAATCATTCCCCCATGTGGCATATGTGCCCTTTTTGACTTCTTGTTCTCAAATTCTCTCTCCCACATTCTATCTGCTCTGAATAAATATCTGTTTTCTGATGATGCAAATACATAATCAAAAAAGTATCTGCAAATACCAATGTTGAGAATTACATGCTAGAGAACTTTCCCATATTATCATTAAAGAAATTTGAAACTGGTACGCCTAGAGACTGTGAACAGAAAACTTCTTCAACAGAAACTTTCCTCAGTCTGAGTATGCCTAAGATCAAGAGCACTTTAGATCAAGGAAATTTACTAAAACGTAGTTTTTCAAGAAATTACAAGACATTTCTACATAGGTATAGGTTGATTTGTTAAAAATCTATTGAGGCAGGGCAGTGGTGGCGCACGCCTTTAATCCCAGCACTTGGGAGGCAGAGGCAGGCGGATTTCTGAGTTCGAGGCCAGCCTGGTCTACAGAGTGAGTTCCAGGACAGCCAGGGCTACACAGAGAAACCCTGTCTCGAAAAAAAACAATAAATAAATAAATAAATAAATAAGTAAAAATCTATTGAAACTGCTTTTGGAGAAGTTTCACTTTACATAAAAATAGACATGAAACAAAATTTTCCCAACTTAAAAACACATAATCTCATAACATATAATCAAAATTAAATAAACAGAGCAAATATGTAGGAATACTTTGGGTATATTATATTTAAACTGGATTTCTTACATAAAATAAGAAATATAGGTATGGAGGAGGGACCAGAGACTGAAGGAATGGCCAACTTGAGACGCATGTCATGGGCAAGCACCAGTCCCTAACACTATTAATGACATTCTGTTATGCTTGCAGACAGGAGCATGTGCTCTATGAGGCTCCACCCAGCAGCTGACTAAGACAGACAAAGACACCAAACACAGTCAAACAGTGGACGGAGCCTGGGATCTCTATGGAACCCTAGGAGGAAGGACTGAGGACCCCAAGGGGATAGGAACTGCACAGGAAGACCAACAGAATCAACTAACCCGGACCCTTGGGGCTCTCAGAGACTGAACCACCAACCAAAGAACATACATGGACTGGACTTAGGCCTCCCCACTCATACACAGCAGATGTGCAGCTGGACCTTCATGTGGGGTCTGAACAACTAGAATGGGGGCTATCCCAAAGCTTTTGCCTGTCTGTGGGATATGTTCTTATAGCTGGGCTACCTTGTCTGGCCTCAGTGGGAGAGGAAGGACCTAGTCTTGCAGACTTGAAGTACCAGGGTTGGGGGTGGATACCCAGGGGGCCCCCACCTGCTCAAAGGAAAAGAGGAGGGGTATGGGGAAAGGACTGTTAGAGGAGCGGTGGAGAGGAGAACAGTGAGTAGGATTTAAAGTGAATAAAAAAATAAAGTTAAATTAAAAATATCCCACTGAATATTCTTTAATTTTTTGGCTAATAAAAATTTAATAAGTAAAGTTTGAAAAATCTGTTTTAGAATAGTCATTTAAGTATCAATCACCAGGCAACATATCCTTGTAACCGCAGCACACAAGAAGTAGAGGCAGGAGTACCAAGAGTTTTAGGCCAGCCTGGACTACAGAGAAAGACCACCACCAACAAAATAATCAATACAAAGAAGTTTCACCCAGTTCACAGGGTATACAAACAGGTTAATATATTATCAGTAGAGAAAGGTACAAATAAAATATGTTAATATTTCCTTTCAGAGATGATAACTTTACAGACAGAACACAAATCTATAAAAACTTCTAAAGAAATATTAAGTTTAGTATTCTTTTGGATACAAACTAAGTATTTTGCTTATGTATCTTTACAAAAATCAAAAGATTATCACTGAGTCAGATTAGTCAACTGCTGCTCTCTGGAGATCTGTAGGCTAAACTTATGAACAGATACAACTCAGAGGAAATCCCTACACTTTCCCCCACGCTTTCACATATGAGGAAATCCATACTGTGCCTAGTTTACTATGTCCTCTGAAAAATCCACAAAAATTTCAACATAACTAGAGAAGCAAGTGAAGAAAAAGTAGCAGTGTGTTTAAAGCTGTGCCTTCTTACCCATATGTTGCTGAAGAGCCCAAGAGGAGTTTGCACGAACAGAGAGCATCTTTTCAACTGCCGAAGGAAGTCTCCTCCAATTAGAAAATTCCAAAGTAAAGATAAGAATATCATCACTGACTGAATCAACCCTGTATCAACAACATATTAACAGGCCATTAGAAAATAAATAAGTATTTTCCAGGAGATCTCACATCATTATACACATGAAATACAGCCACAACTTTAAGAAAACTTAAAATCCTAGCAAATTACTCAACCAAGTTCAACCACACAGCCTCACATTGTTTGAAAAAAACAAACCAGAACTACTATATACTATATAACTGTTAGGTGTCAGACCCCAGACAAATGGCTAAGGTAGTTAACATATCAAAGCAGACACTGTCTATCAGCCTGTTTCAGTATTATCAGTACCCACTAAGGAGACACCCTGGCTGGCACATCCCATAGTCTGCCATAAACACTCCGGCCCAGTGACTGGCCTGGGCCTCTTCCCTAGCTTATCTTCCATATATAACACAGTCATATGCCAGTCTCTCGGTCTTTTGGTCTTCTGAGATCTTGGTCTCTGGTTCCCTTCTCTTCCTCTCCACACCCCCACCCCCACCCCCACGTTTCCATTCAGTAAGAAGGTCATATTCACTTTGGAATCACCCAGATGTTTTTGTGCTCTCTCTATCTATAATAAAGACCTCAACTCCTTAGGAACAGTTATGTCCTTTTTAAATTTCTTTTTTTCCATTCAATTAGCACAAAACAAATTCCTTTTATGCTCAATTTTTTTGCAGACATTCCAAGAGAACAACTGAAGAAAAGAAAGAAACAGAAAGGGCAGTTTAGTTGTTGGTTCCTCAGAAAGCACACTGAGAAAGGGGAGGGACAGACACAGATACCCCTGAATATACATAAAGTGACTCTTTAGTAGTGAAGTATATGAACTGGCTTTCTCAATTAAGGATGCTAAATGAAATAATTAGATTGTTTGTTTCTTAACACTTTCCTGTTTCAATAAATCTAAGAAATGGAGTATGTACCAAGGATGCATTAACCACAAAAAGCCTCAACTACTTATGCATGGAGTAAGTAAACCATCTGAACTAGAAAAATAATAGTATATTTTATGAACCTTGGGCCTTGTTCAATATTGCACTCTCCCTCCCAAGAGCTGACTTAGTTGGGTAGAGAACAAAAGATAATAGTGAACATGTAACTATTTTTCTTCCATAGGTTTTAGAGAGCAAAGGAAAACTGGTGATATTTAATTCCTTTTTCCATTTATAAGTTTTCCTAATTTAGAAATAGGAAGGAACAAGAAAAGATAGCACAAATTCCCACATTTCACAATGGATGGAAGTGTTTGACCTTACATAACAGAACTACCTCATTCCTCTGGATACATGAAGTTAAAACAAAGTGGTTAAGAACATAGATTTGAGAGCCACACAGGACATCTGTGAAAGCTGAAAGCAATGGAGTGAGTTCATGGTTTCAGGTGAAGAAGAATTAAAAATGTGGCTGAAGAAGAAGTGGATGTTCTGGAGATGGGCATCACTTGGGTTCAGGATAAAGGGCAACAGACTGTCAGAGCTGTCTATAGCTACTTGATATGTTTAGTCAAATTTAAAGCAGTCAGGAGGTGACTACTAGAACAGTGAAGGGTTATCTTTTGCTAGCTAGCCCCAGAGAAGAGCTAATCACGAAATTCACTAAGACACCAGCATCATCTTACACAACCGTGTTAATTACTCGATAAAACTGGCACTTGCAAGTATACTACAGCTCAACAGAATACATACGGGGAGGGAGAGCTGTGACGACAAACACATGCAAGTTTCTACATTAGAGATGTCTCAATGAATTGGCAGTAATCTTCCTGTTTCATTCAATTATCTTAAAAATAGAGTTTTGCACAAATTAACATAGAAGAACAGAGAACGGTAACTGAGCATTTGATAGGCAGCTATAAATCTTTATAAATCTGTTGAAAGAGTACAATCAGGGATTCCGAATGTTATTGGGAAAGTGGAAGGAAAGTAGATTCCACAGAAGTAAATATCAAGTTTAAGAAGTTGGGAGATGGGCTGGCGAGATGGCTCAGTGGTTAAGGGCACTGACTGATGTTCCAGAGGTCCTGAGTTCAATTCCCAGCAACCACATGGTGACTCACAACCATCTGTAATGAGATCTGATGCCCTCTTCTGGTGTGTCTGAAGACAGCTGCAGTGTACTCATATATACATAAAATAAATAAATAATTCTTTATGAAAAAAAAAAAAAAGAAGTTGGGAGATGTTGCTCAGAGATGCTCAGCAGGTAAAAATGCTTGCTGCTGAACTTGATGACTTCAGTTCATTCAATCCCCAAAACTGACTCTTGCAAGGCTAATAGATATTTCACTAATGGTCTGTAAAGTAACACATTCTCTATTAGACTGGAGACTTTGGTTCTATTTTTTCATTTGACTAATCAAACCTGTTGTTCACATGCCATACTACAGGTACCAAACTGAGATAACAACTTGTGCTAAATCTGGAAGTGTGTAGAAACAATCTTGTCACCATAGAATCCTGACTCAAAATTCATATAATCTCTTATAAAGGGCTGACATGATAAACAACCAGAACTAAGTGAGTTCTATCCTCAGATACTCTGAAAGCTACACCTTTCCTAACCATGTGCATGCAGACACTTCTTACAGGACTCTCTCTGTGCTTTAAGATCCTTTTCACTATTTGCAGCCCCAACTCTTTCAAACCAGCACAGCTACAGTGGTCAATATTCACACAATGCAGCTATGGTGGTCAGTATACACACACAAGCACACTAGAGCACACATGTACAAACATGCAAACATAGACGCAGCACACGCGCGCGCATACACTCACTCTCACACACACACACACACACACACACACACACACACACACACACACGTCTTAAACCAGACATCTCAAGAACTCATGTCTGAGGTAGTCTCATCACCGATGGAAAGGGCTCACTAGAAAGATTTCTTACCAAGAGCTGCTGCACAGTAGAATCAATGGGTCAAATCCAGCACGCAGGAGATGTGGCAACCATGCCTTATATTTTGTTTGTGCTTTAACTGCATAACTTACAAATTCGGATGTATGATTCCAAGGTACCATCAGGCAACCTTTCTTCAAAAAACAGCAAAACATTGAAAACTTCTCATACTTGAGGCAGTATGCCAAGTGAAGTTCATTTAACTGGGCTCCATACTTCAAAAGAATATTCACAATTCCAGAGAACTCACAGCTTCACCAAAAAGAAATACAAAGAAGTTTAAAAGTTATACTTCATTACAACAAATACTTATTAACAAATTTGTAATAGTAATTACATCTGGGAATGAAAATGGCAGTTGGTATAACCAATGGCTTTTACATGTTCAGATGGAGTAATGAGAAAAGAAACTTTATGTATTAATCCCTCTGTGTTGTTTGTGCTTTCAGCACTAAGATTTTTAAACTATCTTTCACAAAGAACCCATCTTTTCAAGCTGTAAGGTTTTCTACAATTAAGCATTTCTGCTAAAACATGGGAAGTCCCTGAAGACTGACTCACTCTAGAAACCACCATGTTATGTGTCTTTAGCTAACTTCCACTCTTTTCTATTCAGCAAATATGTAGATAGGTAGGTAGGGAAAGATATCACACTTATCATAAAGGAAAGCTTTTCTAATGAACAAATTTTAACTTACAACTCTGTATTATAAAGTTAATCTTATTTTTTAAGTACTTCTGTGAAATAAACATTTACCATTTTTAACTATTAAATTAACTGCTTAAAAACAGATCATCAGCCGGGCAGTGGTGGCCCACGCCTTTAATCCCAGCACTTGGGAGGCAGAGGCAGGCGGATTTCTGAGTTCAAGTCCAGCCTGGTCTACAGAGTGAGCTCCAGGACAGCCAGGGCTATATAGAGAAACCCTGTCTCAAAAAACCAAACCAAACCAAACCAAACCAAACCAAACCAAACCAAACCAA